TTTCTGTTGATCACCTATAAATAGAGGTGACCCCCTCTTGTTTGGAGAGAGAATTTTTCCTGTCTTTTAATTAGATTTCTTGGAGCAAACTAAAGATTTTTCAACAAAGAATTTTACAGAGAGAGAAAGTAAAGGATTCATCAAGAAAAGTCATTTGTCACCATTATTCTTCACCGTTCTTTCCTTCTCTCCATTTGAATCACTCTCTTTATTTCTTCTTTTTTCTTTGTATTGATCTTTGAATCATTTCTTTCAAAATAACTCAATTTAGAACGGTCTGGATAACAAATTTAGGCTAGATTGAGGTTGCAGTGAACCCCATTACTTCAAAAATCAAAATCACTCATTTACAGAGTGTTAATCAGTCTACAAGCTATCATACCAATTTCCTTCAACAAATCTAAGACATATTTTCGTTGAGAAAGAAAAATATCTTTCTTTAACCTCGAAACTTCAATTCCTAGGAAATACTTCAATGGACCAAGATCCTTCATTTCGAACTCACGGGCAAGGTGATCCTGTAATGCTTTCTTCTCTTCCGGACCATTCTCAGTCACTACCATATCACCAACGTACACAATAAGAACAGTGATCTTTTCTTGATTATGCTTTAAGAAGAGAGTGTGATTCGAGTTACTTTGTCTGTATCTGAATGTCTTCATAGTATTCATGAACCTTCCGAACCATGCTCTAGGGGATTGTTTCAAGCCATAAAGGGACTTCCTCAGCCTACACACCTGTTAGGTTTTTTCAGTCCGCATATTACATCCAAGAGGCAACTCCATATATACTTCTTCTTTGAGATCTCTATGCAGGAACGCATTCTTCACATCAAACTGGTGTAATGGCCAATAAAGATTCACAGCCATAGATAACAAAATACGAACTGTATTAATTTTGGCCACTGGTGCGAACGTCTCTTCATAGTCAATTTCTTACGTTTGTGTGTACCCTTTGGCTACAAGTCTGGCTTTAAATCTTTCGATAGTTCCATCAGCTTTATGTTTAATGGTGTATACCCACCTGCATCCAACGGGTTTTCTCCCTTCAAGTAACTCAACAATTTCTCATGTTGAGTTTTTTTGAAGAGCCTTCATTGCTTCCTTTCACCTGGGATCACTCAAAGCATCCTGCACACTACTAGGAATAGATACAATAGATAATTAATTCACAAATGATTCACTTTCCTTTGACAGTTTATGATAAGATACAAAGTTACTCAAGGGATACTTAGCTTTAGAACCAAGAACAGGTTCATAGGTTACTCTAGGTATTCCTCTAGTGACTCGATCAGGTAGCAATTTTATATGGGGTTCAGAACTAACCTAGGGTTCAGGAGTGTATTCGGCTTCGGATTCAGAAGGCAAATAGTTAAGTGGTAAAGCTTGACAGGGAATCTCTGGCACTTGTGGTATAACTTCATAAACCGATCGATCGGCCGCTCCTGGTCGATCGCTCAGTTTAGCACGAAAATCTGAATTTTGCTTGAACGATTCATAATGGAATTCGGCTTCACCACTGAGAGAATCCAAGGTGTTCAGGGGGTGATTCAGAATCTGCACTTCTTCATTACTCACTTTATTGTTATTCTCCCCCTGAAGTGGAGACTCGGGGCCAAAATCATACGTTTCATCCTTATGAAAGGTGACGTCCAGAGTGACATATTTTTCGAGAAAGAGGGTGATAACACCGATAGCCTTTCTGATGCGGGGCATAGCCAACAAATACACAACGGAGAGCTCGAGGTTCTAATTTATTTCGCAAGGGCTTGTGAAGATGTACGAATGCTACACACCCAAAAAATTTAGGTGGCAAATTCGGCACTATTGGGGCACTTACAGCTTCATGTCAAGTGTTCAGAGGGGTCTGAAATTGTATGGAACTGGAAGGTACTGGGTTGATAAGGTAAGCCGCAGTGGTGACAGTTTCACCCCAATAACTGGTGGGCATGTGAGCCCCGAACAAGGAAACATGAACAATTTCAAGAAAATGACGATTCTTGCGCTCTGCAACCCCATTTTGTTGAAGGGTGTAGGGTCAAGTTGTCTGATGATCAATACCATATAGCTGCAGATACTATTTCAAGTCTTGATTAACGAATTCTCCAACATTATCAGTGCGAACAGTCCGTATATGAGATTGATACTGAGTGACTATTGCCTTGTGAAAGTTCTGAAAGAGAGAGTTGACTTCACTTTTTGATTTTATTAAATAGGTCCAAATCATGCGAGTATAATCATCAATAAATGAAACAAACCAATGTGTACCACTCAGAGAAAGAATCTTTGTTGGACGCCAGACATCAGAATGAATAACCATAAATGGTACTGGACTTTTCTTCATACTAATTAGGTAGGAAACACGATGACTTTTAGCTAACTCACAAATGTCACACTTGAAATTAGAAACATTCGACTGAAAAAATAACTTCGGAAATAATTTTCTTAAATATCCAAAAAAAGCATGGTCTAAACGCCGATGCCACAACCAAATTTCAGAATTTTGTAGATGTCTCGATCTATCAACTGAGAATGCTTGAGCCAACTTATTCGAACTTGTCGGCTTCAAATCAAGATGATAGAGCTTTCCCTTTCTAGTACCATAACCAAATGGCCTCCGAGTCTAGATGTCTTTAAAAACACAATGGTTAGGCCAAAAGATCACAATACAATGCAGAGTGTAAATTATTTGAGCAACAAACAACAAATTATAGTTGAGGGAAGGAACAACCAAAACAGAGTCCAAATTCAAATTCTTATTCAGTGTAATTGAACTTTCTCCAATCTCATGAGAGGGAATACCATTAGCTGTAGACACTATAGGTTGTTTGGACGACTTCATAGACCGAATATGATTAATATCAAAGGTCATGTGAACTGTAGCACCAGAATCAATAATCCATATACTATTCCTATTAGATGCAGAAACATTAAGAGTCTTACTAGAGTTACCTGAAGTAGCAATCAAACTAGATGATTTAGCAACATCATCAGAGGCACGAGGATTCGGCTTTGAATTTCGTTTGCTCGGTACTTTGGTAGGATCCCACCATTCTAGATATCCAATTAACTCATAGCAATGTGACTTGCTACGTCCATTTTCACTACAATGAGTACACAGGCGAGCCAACATGGCTGGTAAGGATTCGGGTGAGTATTTGGGTTGGTTGGTGGTCAAGGCAAAGAGCAAGACTAAAGGTAAAGGTAATGGGTGGATTCGATGGTTTGGTGTGGATGTAATGGTATGGATTTAATGATTTAATGGTATGATATGGTATGGATTTAATGGTATGGTATGGATTGTAGGTAAAGATAATGATATGCGTGAGGCACCAGCAACCTACTGTCCAAAGATGATGAGTGCTTCTGCCACAAGAGTCCAAAGATGTGGCTGTCTACCAATGAAAAACAAAGGCAGCCTTAAGATGAGGAATAAACACTCCTTTAAAAGAAACAAACCAGCCTTCTTCCTTAGTAGCCAAACAAACACAGGCTTCTATCTTGCGCAGCGGTAGCAGTGATTCTAGGCGGCAATGGATCTGGGCAGCATCAAAAGTGTCATGGTGGTATAGGCGGCGACAGTAATACCTAGCTCTGATACCAAGATAAAGTTTAGGGTTATAATGCTTGATTAATTTATTCTTCTCTATGAGAGGTATATTTATATAATTATACAAGAGTGTAGAGCAAGCAACTTTTGCAGACAATTAATTACAATGAAGGAAACTACAAATTATAGAATTACTAATTACAGAATATACAAGTATACAAGAGTGTAGAGCAAGCAACCTTTACAGGTAACTAATTACAATGAAGGAAACTACTAATTACAGAATTAGTATCCATCTAATAGCTGTCTTAACAAATTCAGAGGCTCAAGGGCATAATTTATATAGGGACTTAAATGAAAGGTGTGATACTAATGTATTACATGCGTAATATTGCATTTATGGAAATAAGATCCAAAAGAATCATGAATGTATTAATGTATAATATGCATTTTTGGAAATAATATGAAGAGGGGTATTCATATCAGATTTGTAAATTGTAATGCTGTATTTGTAGAAATAAATTTTGTATTACATGTCTATGTTATATTTTTAGAAATAAAATTAAGAAGGATTGGTTATACTTAAATATTTTTCCAAATATGGAAGCATGAGCATGAGTACTCCACCAGCCCTAACCTATCCCATGTGGGATTAACTTGAAGAAATGCATAGCATTGTGCCCTAAACTTGGCCCTACCTGGACAATTATATTTCTTTTGGCATTGGATTGCCTCTAGCAAATGCCAGAAAAATGGTCTCGGGCATCCACAAATCATCCGACATGTGGCGATAGCAAAGGGGAGAAGTTTTATCAATTTCTCCTCATGTTTTTTTACCTCTCCCCACTTGATTTCTCTCCCCTTTTTATCACCACATGTCGGATGATTTGTGAATGCCTGAGACCATTTTTCTGGCATCTACCAAAGACAATCTGATGCCATTTTTTAGGACAACAAGGAATACAAGTACATCATTTTTGTAAAAAGGGTTTGCTTACTATGCATCTTAAAAGGGTGTATATAGAGTCACTTTAAGCAACGGGGGCTGGTGTGCTGGCAAGAACCACACCTCAAAAGTGGAGGTTCTGAGCTTGATTCGCTTCCTTTTGTTGGTCACCCTCAAGGATTTATCCCTACTTACCTGATACATGTGGATGGAGTGGTCTGGATGTGACCGGGGATTAGTGGAGTGCTTTAAATGGCCCGGACACCCTCGTTACCCAAAAAAAATAAATTGTATAAAGTCCATTTTATGTTTCCAACATGACACCCAAATCTTGTGCGTCCCCGTGACTAGTGACTAGAGTTCTATGTACACAATGGTAAAAAATATTCAAGACAAATTTGTCCTTGACAACTTGTACCTTTACTAAATAATAAACATGTTATATCTATTAGTGGGGACATACAAGATTTGTGTGCATACACAAATTTTTTTTTTTTATATAGGAAGAGTGTAAAACAAGAACTTCCTAGGAAGTGACTTATCCTAGTACTACTCTTGCCCAAGCATGCTTAACTGCGGAGTTCTGATGGGATCCAATGCATTAGTGATGATATGTTCGCACCCAGTTGCATATACAAAAGGGACTCATATATATATATATAGAGAGAGAGAGAGAAAGAAAGAGAGGTACTAATAAGTCAGGCTCATTAAAGCTTTTAATGATCGATCCCTCTAGAAAGATGACATGTGACACTCTTTTTTTTTTCAATCGACTGTTGAATGTTAAGGTGGGTCCATTGGAGATGCGTGTAAAAAATCAGTCCGATCGGACGTGTTTAGACCACCCAACCGGACCCTACTTTGTTAGCATTAATCCCTTAGGGTTCACTAAACCCTGCCTAGGTTATAGAAATGATTGATCTTCCCATCTTCGATCGAATGGTCTATTAATGTCTAATTGCGTTGATTTTTTTCATGTGTCGCTAAGGAGACTCATCTTGACATCTAATGATTGGGTTCTAGAACAATTTGTAGGGCTATAAGTAGAGCTGATAGTGATATATCTGAATTCGTATCTGATTAAATGTTCGGATATTTGAATCTGAATAAATATCCGACGGATAGAGAAATATGATATCAGTTACCGACTCAGATTAAAAATATCCGAATTCGGATAGTATCTGAATTATCAGATAACTTTTAAAAAAATCAAAATATAAATTAATATTTAAAAATGTAAAAACATATAAATTTTTATTTAAAAATATATTTTAAAGGTTATTAATTTTATAAATTTAAAATATGTTATTTATATATATTATATAACCGGACGAATATTTATCGGATCGGATATACCACTATCTGAATTCGTATCCGATTATAAACAGATAGTAATTTTACTATCTAATTAAATTCGCTCCGCCAGATACCTATTCAAATAATTATCCGACTAAACGAATTCGGATACGAATCGGATAATATCTGCATCCAATTATATATATATATATATATGCATGCCACCTCTGTCTGAGTCTCTAGGCTTCACAATAGAACCTCCTATTATACCAAGGGCAATGTTATGTTTTTTTACATTCTCATCTACTTTACGTCTTTACCTTTTTTTTTTACAAAAAAATGTAAAAGTTATTGTGAGATCCACCACTTTTTTTGTCTTGTTTAAAAAAAGGGAAATGCATGAGAAGGAAAGTAGACCTAGAGTTATCCATTGTAAAAAAATTTCATCTTTTAATTTTTAATTTATGCTAATTTTTGTTCCCCTTTTAGATGGCTAGATATTTCATTTTCAGACATTGCAATTCCTAATGAGACGAAGATATAAAGTAGGGGTTGACCAATAGGCTGTAGAGAATGTTAATCTTTACCAAATCTAGTGAATATGATAACTTTGTTCACCGGTTTATTCCTATGTATTAAAGAGGAGTGCTAACCCAGTTGCAAAATTTAAATTTTTTCCAAACTCTTACTATGGGTGCAATCAGGGGCGGAGCCAAGAATTTATTGTAGGAATTTATTATAGGGAGGAGGGCATATTATAATTGATTCAAAATATTAGTAATCATTGATGAAATTATATAGAATGATACGGTTATTAATGTTATTACCTGCGTAATATTGCATTTATGGAAATAAGATTAAAAAGAGTAGACCAGTATTTGAGCTGAGCTTGAGCTTGAGCTTGAGCTTGGTTTGAAGTTAGAACATGCTCGAGCTCAAGTTTGATTCGAGCTTGAATGTTCAGGCTTGAGCTTGGCTTAAACAAGTTTATTTGAGCTCGATTCTAGCTTTGATTCGAACTTGAGGATCATTTTAACATGATTTTAATAAAATTATTTATTATCAAATTACATTACAAAAAATTTACAAAATTAATCTAATCATACACAAAATTCGTATCTAAGGGTAGTCTTCAGTCCAAAAAGTTAGGGTTGAAATTTTTTATTTTAATTTCTCAACTTTATTTTGTTGTTATTATCTCCTAAACATATTTATTATTGTTTAAAATTATTCCTATATATCAATATAAACATCATTACTATATATATAAGCTAAAATAAAAGCTTGGCTTGGTCGTTCGAGCCTAAAATACTAGCTTGAGCTTGGTTGAGCTGAGCTGAGCCGAGCTTGAATGCAGCCTAGAAAAGAGCCATGAATGTATTACACGTGTAATATTGCATCTTTTGAAATAAAATTAAGAGGGGTTGCGAATATGTTCCATGTGTAATACTTCATTATATTGTTTTTGGAATATTTCATGACTAATATTATATTTTTGAAAATAAAATTAAGAGGGTTGGCTGTACTTAAATATTTTTACAAATATGGTATTAAATTGCATGCATTAACAAGTTTTATGATGTATCAAGAGATTGTTGGTCCTTTATAGGTTTACTAGAAAGACCACTGTTGTCAAGTTTTACTCATACTCATATGTAGTCACTTGCTTTTTATATAACTGGTTGTCATGCATAAGCCCATTTATTTACCTACCCAAAAAAAGTCAGTTAAACATGACTCTTTGTTTTTCTAATAAACAGTGATTCAGTTGAACTTGAATATTCGCATATGCCCCTTTATGATATGCCAACATATCCAGAAACTGACTCCTTAAAGGAGTAATATTTTCTTTTCTTTAATATTATGATGCGAGAGAGATGCGTAGATGATTTTTCCGAAACTCTCAAATTACCCTTATATAAAAACAAAACATTAATTTAATATTTTACTTTAATTCCCAAACTACCCTTGCCTTTGATTTAATGTTTTACTTTAATTCCTAAATTACCCCTTGCCATCTATCTATTTAGAATCACAGCCAATCATAATTGACCTCGAGGAGAGTTCAATCACACCCGTGGGTTAACACGTGCCCTTTTTTAATTCCTATTAACTGTGGTTAACTCCTTCTCCTTGCTCTCACGTGCATTGTACGTGCCACTAGCGAGTCCAATCGGGTGTCGTTAACTCCTTCCCCTCGCTCTCACATGCATTGCACGAGCCACCCGTTTGTATAAATAAAAAGAAAAGAAAAAAAGTAGCATATTCAACTACTAAGAAAGAAATGGTTTCTCTCAGGCTGGTTGTAGATACGATTAGCCCATTTTGTGGGTTTGACTGAATTTATGGTTAGGCTATTTTTTTCTACGCAATGAAGATATCGCACTCATCCTCGTGAGGAACAGTCTCCCTTTTTCTGAGTTGGAACATCCAACCCCAACCATATATTCCTATTCTGATTAATAATAAAGGGGTTAGCTAGAAAGTATATATTCCCATTCTGATTAATAAAGAGGTTAGGAAGTTATCAACTAGGAAAATTACAGTGACAAGTCTTTGGGGCCGGGCTGGCGGACCGATTAACGGCTTCATGTTCAATCCTGCTTAGCTTGCTCATCCCGCTATGGCTATATTTCATGTATTCTTCTAGGAATTCACAATTTTTACTTGTTTGAAAGTCTGAATTGACAAGAATTAACCATTTTCATGCATTCCATCCACATAATGAGAACAAAAGTGTGGCTTTTAAGGCATTCCACCCACATAAAATAAAAAACTACTTATGATTTTTATTTGAGATCATTTGTCTATTGTTAATGAACTTATTTGATAAGAGTTAAATTAAAACAGGTTTGCAGTGTTTGTATCCACACTCACACATGCACAGAGAGAGAGAGAGAGAGAGAGAGAGAGAGAGAGATCATAATGCATAAGACAATAATATTAATGGTTTATACTAAATCTCAATCGATGGGACTTCCCCTAATAAAACATCTTATATAAATACTAAAAGTAATTTTTAAAAAATGAAATACATTGAAGTTCCACCTTAATAATATGGTGGCTTACCAATCCGATTCCCTTGTCCGTCGACCATTTGAGGGTGTAATTGCATCAATAGGCACATTAAGAGAAATAGCGATAAAGTGTTGAATCAACCAAAACAGAGGGAGAGAAAATAGGACTTGAACCCAAAGAAAAATGGGACAGAGAGAGAAAATGAACAAGGCATTTTACTATAATCCTATTTCATAAGCAAGCAAACAATTGACTGAGTTCAGAGACCCGAGGGAATAATTTATAGAGGAACTTAAATCAAAGTTATGATACTGTCACTAATGTCTTACATTCCTAATATTGCATTCATGGAAATAAAATTAAGAGAGGTCACGAATGTAATCCATTTGTAATGCTGCTTTTTTGGAAATAAAAATTTGCATTGCATATCTAATATTATCTTTTTGGAAATAAAATTAAGAGAGTTAGGTGAACTTAAATATCTTTCCAAATGGTATTAAATTACATCCTTGAGCATGACTCCACCAGCCCCAATCTGTCTCAAGTGGACTAGAAAGCGGAATGCAGGGGCACTGGGGTTAAAAGGTTTAAAGTCGATGAGATAGCAGAATGCAAGGTCGGCTAATTATTGCACTAAAAAATATATTATTTTCAAAAGCTTAGATGTTTCGTTGCCAATGACTATGTCTTATTAAATAATATAGTAAAATTTTTTTTTTTTTTTAAAGTTCGGAGATCAATTGCTCCCTTGTCCAGGTGCGAAGCTAGGGGGTGGGGAGGGGCCATGGCCCCCCCAATCTTTTTGTGATATATATAGTGGGTCCCCCAATGGAGTCCGGTTATGTCCTTGAGGTTAACACATGTCCCTATTGACACCCCTTAACTATGGTTAAAATTCACCCAGTCTTAGGGTTCACCTATTTATCCTTGGTTTTAGAGAAAAATATTTTAAAAAATTTAACCTTAGGAGTTAGTGAATTTTAACTAGGGTTCAAAAAGAAATTTGATTTTTTTTTTAAACCAAGGATAGGTGGGTGAATCTTAACCACAGTTAAGGGATATTAATAAGGACACGTGGCGACCTCAAGGGAATTACCGAGAAAAAAAACCTCGAAATAAAAAAAATACCTCAAAAAAAAAATTATCGGGGTCTACGCCCACAAACCCCCAAGTTCCATACCCTCAAATCCATTATTTTTTAATACATGTATTTCGGCCCCTAATGAAAAATTCCTAGCTTCGCCCCTGCCCTTGTCCAATGACTATACCCTATTAGCAGCATGTTAAAGATCACCTGATATGTAAA